TTCGATGAAATGAAGCAAATAGTTTGAAAATTCATATGGAACCACCAAAGACCCCGAATAGCCAAAGCAATCCTGAGAAGGAAGAATAAAGCCAGGCAGATCCTGCTTCCCAACTTTAAAGTCTACTACAAAGCCACAGTAATCAAGACAATTAGGTACTGGCACAAGAACAGACACACAGACCAGTGGGACAGGATAGAAAGTCAGATATTAACCCAAACATATATCATCAATTAATATACGATAAAGGAGCCATGGACATACAATGGGGAAATGACAGCCTCTTCAACAGTTGCTGTCAGGAAAGCTGGACAGCTACATGTAAGAGAATGAAACTGGATCATTGTCTAACCCCATACACAAAAGTAAATTCAAAATGGATCAAAGACCTAAATGTAAGCCATGAAACCATAAAACTCTTAGGAAAAAACATAGGCAAAAATCTCTTGGACATAAACATGAACAACTTCATGAACATATCTCTCAAGGGAAGGGAAACAAAAGCAAAAATGAACAAGTTGGACTATATCAAGCTGAAAAGCTTCTGTACAGCAAACAATACCACCAATAGAACAAAAAGGCATCCTACAGTGTTGGAGAATATATTCATAAATGAGAGATCTGACAAAGGGTTGACACCCAAAATATATAAAGAGCTCATGCACCTCAACAATCAAAAAGCAAATAATCCAACAAAAAAATGGTCAGAGGAGCTAAACAGACAGTTCTCCAAAAAAGAAATTCAGATGGCCAAAAGACACATGAGAAGATGGTCCACATTGCTAGTCATCAGAGAAATGCAAATTAAAACCACAATGAGATATCACCTCACACCAGTAAGGATGGCTACCATCCAAAAGACAAACAACAACACATGTTGGTGAGGTTGTGGAGAAAGGGGAGCCCTCCTACACTGCTGGTGGGAATGCAAATTAGTTCAACCATTGTGGAAAGCAGTATGGAGGTTCCTCAAAATGCTCAAAATAGAAATACCATTTGACCCAGGAATTCCACTTCTAGGAATTTACCCTAAGAATGCAGCAGCCCAGTTTGAAAAAGACAGATGCACCCCTATGTTTATCAAAGCACTATTTATAATAGCCAAGAATTGGAAGCAATCTAAGTGTCCATGAGTAGATGAATGGATAAAGATGATGTGGTACATACACACAATGGAATATTATTCAGCCATAAGAAGAAAACAAATCCTACCATTTGCAATGACATGGATGGAGCTAGAGGTCATTATGCTCAGTGAAATAAACCAGGTGGAGAAAGACAAGTATCAAATGATTTAACTCATCTGTGGAGTATAAGAACAAAGAAAAAACTGAAGGAGCAAAACAGCCACAGACTCACAGAACCCAAGAATGGTCTAAGAGTTACCAAAGAGAAAGGGACTGGGGAGGAAGGGTGGGAAGGGAAGGAGAAGGGGGGGAATTATGGGGGACATTATGATTAGCATGTATAATGGGGGGCACAGGGATGTCTGTACAACACAGAGAAGAGAATTAGTGACTCTATAGCATCTTACTACGCTGATGGACAGAGACTTTAATGGGGTATTGGGGGGACTGGTGAAGGGGGGAGTCTAGTAAACGTAATGTTCCTCATGTAATTGTAGATTAATGACACAAAAAGAAAACAGAAAGCATGAGAAAACTTCTGGGGCAATGGGTAGGTGCATTATCCTAATGTGGTGGTGTGGGTGTACACTTATGTCAAGACCTATCAGATCATCCTGTTTATTGTGCCTGAACAAAACTGGAAATAAAATGAATAAATGAAGGAGTATGTGCATGAGTAAAGAGATTTAAAAAATGGAAAAAAGAAACCTTTCTCAGTTTGACACCTCAAAGCTGAAGCAATTTCAATCCTTTCATCAAAACAGTTTCTTTTGCTTAATAAAGACTACATTAAAAAACATGAGATTTCACATTTATTCCCTTCTGTCTTCTATGGTCTTTATCATTATGCATTATGAATTTGATCTCCAGAATCCACCGAGTCATTACATTAAGAATGAAATAACTGGTACATCATTTAGGACACATGCTGCAATTTGCAAGCTGAGTCAAAATAGTTTTTGTGATAGGTAGTTACTTGAAATTCAGATTTAAATTGCTACTCATCTACACACTGAAATGAAACAACTTAAATTCACAAAATTATAGTTAAACAATATCATTTCAATACTATCCTTCACAAATCATTGATACTTAAAAGGATCCTTGTAAATAATCAATTTAACAAATATTTTTACAACATATTTCCATAGCTCTAAATTTCCAATCCATGTACAACTGTATCTGATCAATGATTCCTGAAAAAAAGCAACTTCCTAAATCAACCTAATGTTTATATTATGTGTAGCAGATTGAAAATAAAGCCCTGCACCCCAAATAGGACTGTGTGTAAAGAGCCTAAAATAGATATCAGGAGAGCTCATATTTAGTTCTTGAACATGGTTCAATTACTGACATGAGAAAACGAAAATCACTTCAGCTCCCAAACCACTGTGCTCCCATTTATCAGATGAAGAAGACAAAGTAAATTTCTCTCATATCTAATTCCAAAGGCTCTATAATTTTTAATTGTTTCTTCTTTAGTGCTGTGAATATAGAATTATTCATTTAGCAAACATGCATAACATTTAACTTTGTTTCAGGCACTGTGGTAAGTACTTTACAAATATTTACTGAGCACATTTGTTATGACACTGTTTTTTCTTCAAATGGAGTTGTTTACTGAGATCCTTTGCATATTCAATTTACCCATTTAAAATGTACAATTCAATGGCTTTTAGAATATTTATAGAATTGGGTGTCCATTACCACAGTGAATTTTAGAAATTTTTAGGACTCCACCAAAAAGGAACTCTGCACCCATTTCCTGAATCTTCCTGTCACTCCTGGCCTGAGGAAACCATTAAAACATTTCTGTCGCTATAGATTTGCCTATTCTGGACATTTCATATAAATGGCATCATGTATATGGCTCTAAGTGACTGGCTTATTTTAGTATAATATTTTTAAGGTTCATCCATCTTGTAGAATGTTTCTTTATACTGTTGAGTAATATTTCACTCTATGGATATACCGCATTTAGTTCTTCATTCATCAATTGATTGACATTTCATTATTTTTCCTTTGTTGTCTATGATAAATAATGCTAGCATGAATATTTGTGCACAGATATTTGTGTTAATGTTTGTTTTTATTTCTGTTGGGTATATAAGTAGGAGTAGAAATCCAGGGTGATATGGTAGCTGTGGTTAACATTTTGTGGAAAACTCAAGAGTGCTTTCCAAAATGGATGCACCATTGTACTTCTACCATCAGTATATTAATGTACACCAATGTCTCCAACTCCTTGCCAACACTAATTATGTCTGTTTTTTTTATTACAGCCATCCTGTTGGGTGTGAAATGATATCTCACTGTGGTTTTGATTTGTATTTTCTTGAGGGCTCATAATGTTGATTATCTTTTCATGTTTTTATTGGCCAATTAAATATCTTCATTAGAGAAATTCTATTCAAATCCTTTGCCCATTTAAAAAATTGGGTTATATATCTTTTCTTTATTTGAGTGGTAAGAGTTTACTGTATATTATAGCTACAAATATCTTGTCAAATATATGATTTGCAAAGATTTTTTTCTTCCATTCTATGTGTTTTCTTTTCACTTTACTGATGATATCTTTTAAAATACAAAGTTTTACCTTTTGATGAAGTCCAGTTGATATATATTTTCTTGTCATCTGTACTTTGTTGCTGTCATATTTAAGAAACCTTTGTCCAATCCAAGGCTCATGTGAATTTTTAATTTTCACCTCAACATGTACTTGTAATAAAAAACAATATGTGCTTCAGATCTTCAGATCATACATTAGGGTTTATACAGTAACATAAAATCCAATTTGGATGTACATTTAGTGTTTATGCAGCAAATTTTGGTAACAATTTATGCAAATATAGATGTCCTAACTGTATGTTATTAAGGTACTATAGCCGTCAATAACTTTTTTGTTTTAATGAACTTTTCTTTTATTTTACAAGTACTAGATTTACAGAAAAGTTGACAAAATAGTACAGAAAACCCCATATCCCTCATATCCGACCCTTTTGCTAACTTCTTATATTACTATAACACATTTGTCACAAGTAATAAAGTAACATTATATATTATTATTCACTAAAACTCATGCATTATTTGGAAATACTTGATTTTTATTTAACATCTTTTTCTGTTCTAGGATTTCACCTGGATACCACATTACAATTAGTTATCATGCCTTTTTAGGCTACTCTTGGTTATGACAGTTTCTAGGGTTTTCTCCATTTTTTGATGACCTTGATATTTTTGAGGAGTATTGGTTATATATTTTTTTGGGTTACCCTCAATTGGTATTTGCATGATGGCTTTTCTCAAGATTAGAATGAGGTTCTGAGACTTTGAGAGGAAGACTACAGAAGTAAACTGTCATTTTCATCCATCACAGCAACTATACATACTATCAACATGACTTTATTGTCATGACATAACCATTGTATTGACCAAGGTCACTGGCCCTTCCATATTCCAATCATTTTGTCTATATCCTCTAAGACTTTTCTAACATTTTGATTGAGATTGCATAGAGTCTACAGATCAAGTTGGGAACAAATGACATTTTAACATTACTGTGATATTCAATCTATTTATTTGTATATAATTTGATATTTTAATCACAGTTTTCTAGTTTTATATTAATTTTGTTATTGCTATTTTTTGTGTTATTGTATCTTTCATTTTTTAAATATAAAATTTCAATTATTCATTGCTGGTGTATAAAGAAGTACTTGACTTTTGTACATTGACCTTATATCCTGGGACCTTGTTATTTTTCCTTATTAAAATGAAGGATTTTTTGGTTTTGGTTTTGTTTTCTCAGGGTGTGATGTGGGTTAAGTTCTTTGGTATTTCCTACATAGACTACACTGAAATGCAGTCATATCAGTAGGATGTTGAATAGGAATGGTAAAAGGAGATGTCATTGCTTCATTCTCAATATTAAAGGCAGAGAGTCTCTCACGGTGATGAGTTTTATTGTAAGTATGATGTTTATTGTGAGATTTCTGTAGATGTTTTTACCATATTGAGGATTTCCTTCTATTCCTAGTGTGCTGAGAGTTTTATCAAGAATGGGTGTTGGATTTTCTCAAATGATTCTTCTATATTAAATTGTGTGCTCATGTGATTTTTTTTCTTCTTTAGCTTGTTAATTATATTAGTGATTTAAAAATCTTGAACTAGCCTTGATGATCTGGAATAAATACTAATTAATCATATTGTATTATTATTCTTATGCTTTGTTGAATTTGCTTTGATAATACTTTGTGGGTTTTTTTATGTTTATAGTCATAAGAGTTATTGGTCTGTAGTTTGCTTTTCCTGTAATGTTTCCATTTGTCTTGGTATTAATGTAATGTAATTAATGTAATGCTCATAGAATAAGTTAGGAAGTATTATTTGTGTTCCTATTTTGTGGAAAATTGGAGTTATTTCTTCCATAAACATCTAGTAGAATTCACCAGTGAATCATCTGAACTTGGTGTCCTTTTTTAAAGTTTATTTATTGTAGATTTAATTTAATAGCTATAGATCTATTGTATTTTCTTATTTATTTTATTTTCTCCTTTTTGGTCATTTATGTCTTTTAAGAAATCAGTCTATTTTATCAATGCTACCAAATATGTGGGCATAGAATTGTTCATAATGTTCCTTATTATTATTTTAATATCCACAGATCAGTAGTGATAACCTCTATTTCATTTCTGACTTTAATAATTTGTGTCTCTTTTCTTTATCCTGGCCAGCCTGGCTAGAGGTTTATAAATTTTATTGATTTTTTTCTAAGAACAAGATTTTTATTTTCCTTCACTTTCTTACTGTTTCCTGTTTTCTATTCATGGATTTTTGCCCCAACTTTTCTACTTCTTATTTTTTTCTGATTTCTTTAAGCTTGAATTGATCTTCTTTTTCTAGTTCCCTAAGATGTTAATAATAAGCTGTTATTAATATCACATTTTAATTATTTTAACATACATAGTTAATACTACAAATTTCCATCTAAGCACTGTTTTGCTGCATCCCACAAATGTTAAGTTCTATTTTCATTTCCATTTTCATTTTGATATATTTTTATCTTCTCTTACAAATTATTCTTTGATCCATGTGTTCAAAATATGTTGTTTAATCCCCAGTTATTTTGGACTGTTGCAGCTATGTTCCTGTGATTGATTTCTAGTTTAATTTCATTGTAAAGAAAGACCACACTTTTCATTTTTTCCATTTTTAAGATGTGCTTTATGGCTCTGAATGTCATCTTATCAATATTGGTGAATGTTCCATGCAAGCATGCAAAGAATGTATATTCTGCTCTCCTGAGGAATAGAATATTTTACAAATGTCAATCAGATTATATTTATTGATAGTGCTTTTCAAGTTCTCTATATCTTCACTGATTTTCTGTCTGCTTGATCTGTTAATTATTAATACAAGGTATTAAAGTCTCCATCAATAATAGCAGAATTATTTATTTCTCTTTTCAGTTCTATGAGTTTTCCTGTCATGTATTTTGTCACTCATTAGGAGTGTTATTTGGGATCATTATATCTTTCCATAACATTAACTACTTTTTTATTATGCAGTGCCCTTCTTTAATGCTAATAATTTTCTTATTCTGAAATATGATTTGTATGAAATTAATTCAGTCATTCAAATTCTTTTGCTTGATCACCCAATACGTTGCTACTTTTATTACTTTAAATTAATCAGATGAGATATACAAAGAATAAGAAAAATAAAATATTTTACCTTCCTATATTCCTGTTTGAATATAGGAAGGTAAAATATTTTATTCTTAATGTAGGTATAACTCTCTTACCTATATCATTTTCTTACCACTTGAAGAATTTCCAACATTTATTGAAGGAAGGTTCCCTGGTGATGAAGTCTCTCTATTTTTGTATGGCAGAGACAATCTCTTTCTCCTTCAGTTTTGAAGAACAATCTTCCTGGATATAGAATACTTGGTTGGAAGGTTTTATTATTTTCTTTTAACAAATATGTATTTCATCTCACTTTTGTTTGCATTGTTTCTGACAAGATGTCTGAGTCACGTCTTATTCTTTTCCCTCTATACTTAAGAGTCTCCTGTCCCCAGACTTTTTCCAAGATTTTCTCTCCTCTGGCATTCAAATCACACCTATGGTATACCCTGCAAGGTGTCCTACAGTTCTTGAATGTTATGTTATTTCTTGTTTCCTCCCCTCTTTTTCTCTTTGCATTTATGTTTGGGAAGTTTCTATTGACTATCTTGAAGTTCCCTGATTCTTTCCTTGGCCTTGTAAAGTCTACTGATGAGTCTGTGGAAGGAATCCTTCATTTTAGTTACTATACATGTTGTGTCTGCCATTTCGTTTTGATACTTTCTTAGAGTTTCCATCTCTCTGCTTTTGTTACCTATCTGTTCTTGCATGTTGTGACTGTCACCAACATTTCTCCAGTGCTTTTTCACCCTATTGCTCTCTACTGCCTTCCCAGGCTACCGCATTTCTAGTCTAGCTCTTGGAAGCTCTGTTCTCCCATTGACTACTTCAGTTTCCTTACTTAAGTGCAACAGAGTGACTAAAGTAGGAGGAATAATGGGATAATGCTCTGAAGAAGTCTTTTACCCTGAAGAAGAGGTCTTGTTAAGAAGACTCCAGTGCATTTCACAGCAATTGCCCCCATCCCTGACTGGCTACCACCCACCAGAGCCATGAGATGAACTTTCTTGGGTTTTCACCATAAGAAACTGGTGTGGTTTCTGAAGGTAAAAACCATGATACCCTGGCCCACTAGCCTATGGCCCACAGGAGTCTCTCACTCTCCCACTAGTTCACACCCAGCTTCTGGCAATTTGTCAAAATCACCATTTAAGTGTTTCTACCAGTTTACAGTTACAGGGGATTCTTTTCCAGGTAAGAAGATCTCAACTGCATCTCCTGGGGATGGTTATTCACCCTGCATCTTCATTTCCTTGATAGGTTCATGAAAAGTCATGTCTAGCTCTTTTTTGTAAAGGGTGATGACTTCTGAGAAATTCACATGTTGGAGCTGAAAACAGAAGTACAACTAATGATTTTATTTTAACAATAGGAGAACATAACATGTGATCACATAATATGATCAAGGTCATAATATGTATCATTGATCTTCAGAGATTTAGAGAGAGAGAGAGAGGCTATAAGGACTGATACACTTAAAGACTAAGACATTTGGGGTTTAATTATGATTATTTATAGATATTACTAAGAGGTTATTATCTCATAAAGGATTAATTTATATAATGAATAGAAGTACAGCAACAGAGATCTACAATGTATAAGTCAAAGACAACTTGTCAAATGAGATATAATCATACAGGGAGCCATTTTTCATATTCTACTTCCTGTTGATTTGGTGGACACACTATAATGTGAATCCTGATCATTCCTGCCTTCTGGTGTCTATATCTTTTTGTAATCCCCTTCCCAGTGTATGTGGAATCTGTGACTTGAAACCAACTAATATTATATGGCACAAGTGATGGGATAGCACTTTTATGATTTCCTTTTATTTCATTAGAATCTGAGCAGTCAGGTAAGAGACTGCCTTGCTGAAATTGTAAAAGCAAGGCATTTTGTTCAGAAGTACATGTACTGAGGGCCATGTGGCAGGGAACTGTGGGCAGTTTGTTGAACCTAAGGGGAGCGCTAAGACAGCACTCTGCAAACAGCCAGGGCCCTCAGTCATCAGTACAAAGGAAATGAGTCCTGCCAATAATCTGATTGACCTTGGAAGAGAATTCTTCCCCAGTCAAGCTTGTGAATGAAAATATACCCAACTATCATCTTTAATCAGTCTAAAGAAATTCTGTGGAGGAACAAGCTAAGCCCCACTCAGACTCCTCACCCACAGAACCTGTGACATGAAATGCATTATTGTAGACTGTTAAGTTTGTGATAATTTGTTACATGGCAATAAAATCTCAATACAGTTAATAGCAACCTTTATGGAATGATCTGAGAAAATTTTTTAAAATAAAATTTAAGGAAGAAAAAAGAAAGGGAGTGGGTGATTTAATTAGCTCTTCGTGTTGAGAGTTATTGTTTATATTCAAAGAAGACTGGAAAACATATATATATATATATATAATCTATAGACTCCGAATGGAAATTTTGTTTTAATTTTTATATTATTGAAGACTCAGATGTTTTATGGAGTGATTATGGTGTCCTGACGTGGTATAGTGGAGACATCACTAGAACAGGTTCTGGATAGATATGATTTATGGTAATTGTTAATGCTTTCCTTCCCATGTTTCCAACTTTCTGGGTTACACATCTTGACCGTTTGAGTTAGGAATGAGGCCATGTGATAAACTCTGAGCTATGAGTTGACGTGATTTATTCTGTGTTGGAGCATTTAATTGCTGTTTTACGATTTTCTGTCCCTCTCTTATAAGAAATGGCACACTTAGAGATGGTAGCTAACCCATCAACCTGCATCCTCAAAAAGCTGTGATGAGCAGACTCCTGCTACCAGCCTATGAGTAGCACACAGCATGAAAGAGAAATAACCTTTTGCTGTTTTCAGTCACTGAAACTTTGGGTTTTATATTTTGCTGAAGCCTAACCTACCTATCCTGACTTATAAATGGTTCACACTTCTGTTTCACACCTTACTAGCTAATTGAACTTTTATTCTGTTTTCTTTACTGCATAATGGAAGAAGTAGTAATTTCTGACTCTTAAGGTTATTAAGACTAAAAAGATAAGATTTCTTTAATTGGAATGGGCGGCTCTTGGTATGTAGTAGCTGTTTGTTAGTGCTGACATCATCATATGCTCTGATACCCACTTATTGGGACTTGGACTTGTCTCAAAGATCTGCTCTCTGGCCAAGACAAGGAGGGAAAGGATTCACTGAGAACAAAATTAGACCAGTAGGTCTGAAGTAACCTACAAATGTAATTTTATCATATTGTCCCTTTGCATCCCAGATGTCTGATTTTGATTGGATT